ATCTGTGTCTGATGACGAATCACTGTCTTCGTATATTGCCTCGTCCTCAGCGGGACATGCAAGTAAAAAAATCTACAATCACTGTATAAGACGCACCCAGTTTTTAGACCCCAAATTTTTTGGAAAAGGGTGCGTCTTATTCATGGGGAAATATGGTACATCTTTCTAGAGTTATAGAAGAATGAAAAAATAATAAAACTGAACTAAGAATAGCCATGCATGGCAAGCAGATCAGACTGTCTGCTGGGTGAACTGAAATAACCATTAAATGCCTGCCATGTGCCAAGCGCAATCCGGGACTCTTTCTAAAAACAGGAAGGCTGGATGAGATGATTTGTAAATAGATAGCGTTTAGGAGTTGGAGTTTGTTTTGGTCTTGTCTTTCGCTTTTAGATTGCTCTTAATAGTTGGATATTTCATTTACCCTTTAGCTGAAGTCACAGTCGTTTTTGGAGCTGTAGTAGAAGACAGTTTTGCACTATTGTTATGAAAACAGGTCAAGAAGGCAGTCCCTAGAGGGCACTGTAGCGGTTGGCTGTTACTGTTACAGGCACACCTCAGAGATACGGCGGTTTTGGTTCCAGACCACAGCAATAAAGCGAGTATCACAATAAAGCCAGTCACATGAAATTTTCTGGTTTCCCAGTGCATATAAAAGTTATGTTTACACTATGCTATAATACTTTAATTAAAGGATACTTTATTCTTAAAAAATGCTATCACCTGAGCCTTAGTGAGGCGTAATCTTTTTGCTGGTGGAGGGTCTTACTTTCAATTGGGAAAAAATGCATATCTGCAGGGTACACTTAAATGAGGTCTGCCTGTATTCTGTATTCTGGAGCTCTGGGCGTGGCTGAGCTGAACGGCTGGTGACTCTCTTGCACTTAGGTTAAGTCAGCGGAACCAGTAGGCCCCAAACCTGTTTGTCTTTCAGGTCCACATCACCCTGAGCACCCACGAATGTGCAGGCCTTTCGGAGCGGGACATAAACCTGGCCAGCTTTATTGAGCAAGTAGCCGTGTCCATGACCTAGGCCCAGCCATTCCTCTTTGAATTCTTCAGGGAAAGGGGCAAATGAGCTGGAATTCCAGAAAGAGGGAGCGGGGGACCCCCAAAATGCTGCTACAGTCAAAATGGCCACATCCACCCTGCTGCCTCCATTGAGGGGTGAGTCCTTGCTGTGGAAAGAGATGCCAGTGTCACTGCCAACACCAGGAACTGAGACTTTTTCCCTGTACCACACTCTCTCTCCATCCTTGGGGCTCTGTTCAGTGTACATTAATTTGAATAAGATCTTCTTATTCTTTACAACTTCCCAGCAACAGTCATGATTTTCTTTCCAAGCGGTGTCTTGCTCCCTTTCTATTTCCCAAGAAGCTGTGATAGAAGCTGTGCCTAAGACAAGACAAAATCTTATCTTAGAAACCAGAACCCTAAAGCCAACCCCATCCTATGTGAAACACATGTACTTTTATGCCTCAAATAAAACTATTGTTTCACTTGGCCTTAGGCTCTAGAATCTTCTTTTCCACAGGTCAATCCAAATTGGAGTCAACAGGCATTTAAAGCACTTACTGTGTGTAAGGCACTAGGGGAAAAGGGGACCAGACCATCCTGCCTTTAAGGAGTTCATTATCATCTAGTACAGGGGTCTGCAAACTTTTGAGATGGAAGAGCCACCAGGAGTCAGCAAACTGCAGCTCGTGAGCCGCAGGCTCTGAAGTAAAATTGAAAATGAAAATTAAACCATCAGTTTCATTTATAAAATTTTTAAAGGATATTCACATAATGGTGGTTATGTAAAAATATATTTATGACTCTCGAGTAATTTTTAAATTGTGAGGGACAGGATTGGCTCTTCCAGGGGTCGGCAAACTTTTGAGATGGAACGTACCCAAAGAGCCGCATGTGGCTTGTGAGCCACAGTTTGCTGACCCCTGATCTAGTGGAATTAAAGAGGAAAACAGTTAACTATTATAATACTAGGCAGGATGAATTAAGTTAACACTAGGTGCCAGATAAGAGATGAGCTAAGAGAATAGGAAGTGATTAAGAAGGGTGAATCTGGGGCCAGCTGAGTGGCTCAGGTCGATTCCCACATGGGCCAGTGAGCTGCGCTGAAGCTGAGCTGCCCTGAGCTGCCAACAGGTGGCAGGATGGCTCAGCTGGTGAGAGCACATGCTCCTAAAAACAAGGTTTCTGGTTCGACTCCTGCATGGGATGGAGAGCTACGCCCACCCGCAACTAAGATTGAACACGGTACCTTGAGCTGAGCTGCCCTGAGCTGCCAACAGGGTCAGCCAGATGGCGACCGGGACTTGGAGCTGAGCTAGCTGCGCCCTCCACAACTAAGATTGAAGGATAACAACTTGGCTGTTCCCCTTCCCCAATTCCCAAATAAAATCTTTAAAAAAAAAGGGTGAATTTGGAGCCTTCATTTGAGTTGTGCCTCAAAGACCTGAATAGGATTCTTGAGGCAGAGATGGCTCTGATAAAGGTGTGCGGGGCACCTGTATACACGCACGGTGAGATCTGGGACCAGGAAGGCAGTCTGGGACTGTTATCTTCTTGGTCAACAACATCAGGTGGGGATCCTGATCCTGATGTTTCTGGATGGTTTTCATCTAATCCTGATGGTTTCTGCAATTTCTTAGAAACTTAGCCAAAGTCTCAAGGCTTGCCTGCTTTCACACTGTAAGGATGACGACGAAAACCACCCTTCTAGGAGATGACAGGCTATTTACTGCTATCTGAGCAGTTAAGGAGCTGATTCGCAGATCGGTCCTCCAACCCAGTAACTCTGTAGGACAGGATATTCCCACTGATGTGCCAGGACTGGGAGAAGGGGACAGAGAACAGTGTCATCTCTACCCCGTGTGCATGCCACATAGATATCATCTCATGTATGCCATTATGCAAGAGAATTCTCACCTAGCACCCCTCATCTGAAGCTGCCTGGGCACTAAGCTGACTTGCAAGTGTCAGGCTCACTTGGCAATGTCATAACCCAGTCACCCTGAATGAGTTGGTCCTGCAACAAAGGCCAGAAAAGAGGCAGGAGTGGGTGGTTGAGAAATAGTCAGGGACTATATATAGCAGGACCCCCTTCCAGCCTATATACTAGTAAGATTATCATTACCTACATTAAGAGCAAGTTCTCAGTTAAGACTTAATATCAAAGCCAACAAGATTCAGACAGCAGTCCCCCATCTGCCACACTTCTGACTTAAATGTTTCTAAGTGTGCTTTGACCTGACTGTGTTTATGGGACAGAAGCCACCAGACATGATGTGTTACGTCACTGCTTACTCTCATGGATCATGGGTTGAAAAACGCCAACCTAGAGGGCAGTCCAGTTGTATGAAGCACCTTTATGTGGGACAAATACACAAGCCACAGTTTTTAGAAATAAATGTTTATTCTAAAATTCAAATAATTGAAATTATAGGGGATGATATTGAGAGACTGTGAAAACGAAGAAAGCACAAGAAAAATGAAAGCAATTAAGACTCCAAGAAAAGGCTCTCAAACACCTGACTTGCTTTCCCAGGCTACAGCTGGTGGCTGCCAAACGAGGCCTCCATCTTTACTCTTGTTGCTCCGGGGTCTACTATACGCGATCTGCTGCTGCCAAGAACCCAGAGAGAAGGTAGAGAGGCTCACAGCTGTAAGGAGCAGGTAGGTATAAGCATCCAGACACCATTTCTTGGATGGTCCAGGCCTCCTAACCAGGCATATCCTGGCCCCTCTTTCTCTAGAGTTTATCCCAAAGAGAGGAGGTGCTCAGGAAACTGAGTCATTTGCCAGAAAACTATAGCAAAGACCGCATTCCTCCACTGAGTCTGGCAAAGTCTGAATGGGCTGGAAGCCAGAATGAAAAGCTTGGTTACCTGAATGACAGCCTTTGGAACCTGAATAGCCCCTTGGGAAGACTCCTCACTTCTAAGTCATAATGGAACAAGACAAAGACAGTTACAGGTGCAAAGATAATCTGAGGGGTTCTATCAGCTCCCACACCGAATGCAGGGTTTGAAGTCAGTGTCCTTTGGTTAGACAGAGCCACACTGACCAGCTGGCTGGAGACTGGATGATGATGATGACAGAACACGTAAGGCAGGGCCCTGACCCTGGGGAACTAAAGACCTGAGTTCCAGGCCTCCTTAAAACCGGTGTGACCATCACCCGTGGTGGAGTTACGAAAGTGTTGCTGGGAATTGGGCAGATGAGAGGCTCGCCCGCTCCTGTCCCACTTGGCCCTAACAGCAGCGGCGCACACAACCATTTCACCACCAGGGGTCGATCTCTCACCAGCAGCCAGTTCAAGAGCTGCCAGCACCCCATCTGGGATAGCACATGTGGGCCTAAATAATCAAATGAATGCAACCATCCACAACGATTAGGATTTGGGACATTTAATTACTTAATTGCTTTTTAAGAGATTATTGCTGCAATTAGGAGGGGAGCTTGAGATGGGAAGGGGGAGGTTAAAGACAGAAAAGATTTAAAGGAGGCAAGTACCATTTTCCAAGTATAAAACTGGTAATATTAAAAGTGACATGGCAGTATATTCACATGACTACTTACTTCTAATGCAGAAATAAGACAGTACAGGTTTTGCAGCGGCCAATGAGACATCTAGCAACATATCATTACGACATTCTGCCCACCTCTGCCAGGCTGGGTGTTACCACATGCAGATATACACGGAATGGAAAGCTCACAAATGTTAAGTCAAACTAAGGCTCATGATCATAAATTAAAGTGGCTACAGCAGGTCCCTTTGAAAACACTGCACCCCCGCCTCCCACCTCCACCACCCAGCCCACCCCACCCCCGGCAGCAATGTTGTTACAGCACAGGGGAAGGGCCTGGGAGACACTGGAAGCAAGAGCACACTCTGTAGGACACACGCTTCCCCATTTTAACGGCTGACAAACCCAGGTGGTGCCTGCTGGGTGGGTCTGGGTCCCTGGACTTCCTCCAACATAATGAAGGCACTGGAGACGCAAGAGACTACACCTCCTCTGTCAGGAGGTGCCCACCAGCTCAGCAACTGGAGGGCACACAGCTCCCATGTCCAAAGGATCTCAGCCTCTCCCTGTCACTCACTCACACACACACACACACACACACACACACTCACTCACACACTTGGAACCCACAAAGGCCAGGAGGAAACACACACGCATACACACACATCAGCCCTGCAGTGACATGGCCAGTCACAGTTTTGTGTAGGAAATACAGTGCTCAACAACATTTTAGACAAAAGTGGTAAGGAGCTTCGGGAAAAACCTGGTCATCCTGGCTCTCCCGGCTGCCAGCATATCCCGTGGGGGAGGCGACAGGATAGGAGCCTGAAGAGGCTGGACATTCAGGAGTCCCTGAGAAGGGTAATGGAACAGCAGCCTTTCTCCTGGCTACTCCTAAGCGTTCTCCTCCCCGGATGAACACCCCAGGAGCTGACCCCCAGGCCTGGGTCAGGAATAGCCCACCACTGCTCCCTGGTGAGGAAAAGGCACACGCAGGCTAGGTGGTCGTTAGGGGAGGACAGTGGCTTAACCTTGATGTGGGCCCCACGCTGGGGAGAAGAGGGTAGGGAGTGGGCACAGGGTCTGGTCCTGTCCCTGCACCACCCTGAGCAACTAGTCTCATGAAGGAAACCCAGGCCCTGGGCTATGACGGACACTTACCATCACGTTTCCTATTCCAAAATGTGTATCTCATCCTAGCCAGGCCTGAGAAGCGTCCAGTACCTGAGGCTAAATTGCCATAGTACCTTTGGGAGCTGAAAAAAGGTGGAAGAGGCAGAAAGGACACACTAATGGAGAGGGAAAACTTTCCTTGCCTTGGGAGCTCTCTCACGCCCTCCTTGCACCACTTAGGGTAAATCAAGGCCACTTGTGAAGGTGCTTTGAAACGTATTCTCATGCATGATGGCCTAAAGCAGTGGGGGAGGGGAGGCCCACCACCAACTTTTGGTGGCGACTTTTTTGAATCTGGGTGCTCATCCTACTCTGATACTCAGAAAGGTATAGAAGAGGGTCTGGTTTCTGATATCACCAGCCCAGGAGAGGGCTCAGGTGTGCTCTGAACGCTGCCTATTCAGAGGCAGCACTAGGGCCACAGGTTCCTAGATCCTCTGGGAATCGCATTCTCTTGTGGTCCATGGCAGAACAAACCAAGGGGAGCATAATTTCAAATAAGAATCTCCAAGCATGGTGGCAGCCAAGAATCAAATGGGGACTGCATCCCAGGAGAGGCCAGTGGCCCACTCCACACCGCGCCCTGGTAGACTGACCACTCTAATCCTGCATAGGAGCAACAACGGCCTGGTCAATCTGTGTCCTGGGAAAATAAAACGAGTTGCAATAAAAGTGGCTCTAAGAGAGATAACTAACCTACTCAAAGAGCAAGGCTGAAAAAGCCTCCTTCTTAGAGTATATCTAACACCCACCCAGGGAAACTTGTTACATGAATGCTTCCTATCTGATCAGCCAATCTGCCTGAGACAACAAAGAAAACCTTTTTGTATTTCATAAACTGTGCTCAGCTTCCTGAAGGAATCAGGACAGGTCAGAGCTGCCACACAACGATTAAGTGAAGTTGAAAGCTAGAGAGGTTAGAGGAAGAAATGGTTAAAACAATTCCTAGGGTAACATTTAGAACAAGGGCAAAATAATTACGTAATGGAATCCTTCGGGGTCTTCACATTAAAAACCACAAAAGGATGATGAAAGGAGGAACAAGAAGCCTGAGGATCCAGCTGTCTTGTGATCTGTCTCGTAGTGCTCGATGGAGCAAGACCAGATGTTGAAACTGTGGGTGGCCTGTTCCACACTCCGAGAACCTCCTGAAGGCCAGAAACCCCTCGGGGCTAGGCAGAGTCCAGGCTCAGCGGGGTTTCGGAGAACCGTTCATCTGGCTGCCCTGAGTTACAGTGTCTGTGCAGAAAAGGCTGTCCAAGAAGACCGAGGACAACTCTGCTACCTGGTTCCTGTCGACAGTGGTCTGAGCCATGCCGTAGATAGCACCCTGCAAATGCAGTCAGAGTCGGTGTTAGTGACAAGGGGCACAGGAAGGGAATGGCCTCCTTCTGCCCTGTCCTCGCCCTCCATGTGCCCCGGCTCCCCCGCTCCATTCCCACCCCAGGCTCCATTCTACTGGAAGGATAGCTGACATGGTCAGTTTTTCACAGGTTCTTCCCAGTCTGCCTTTCTGCCCAAAGGAACTATCCTCTGGGATTTGCTGTAGAAAATTCTAGTGAAAACAGGTTTATTGCCTTTCCTGTGTCAAATTTTTCTTTTCACATGGACACTACCACCGCCTGGCCTTGTATAGCACTTCCAAATGTACAAGATGTTTTATATATAGTATATCTCATTTGAGACTGAAAAACCCTGGGCATGGGTGAGGCAGAGATCATCAGCTCCAATTCAATAAGGAAACGGGTTTGTGGATAAGGGACAGAGGCAGGAACAGACTCAAGGTCATGTGATTCTTTCAAACTGCTCCTCCCAACACCACCTAAATTTCCACAGGAAGGAAAAACCCCACAGGTGCCTACCATTCCTGTGGTCTTTGCTTTAGGATTCTTCATGATCTGAGTGACAGACTCCCGGATGTCCTTTAGGAACTGTATGGCTACTCGCTTCCGCGTGTGCACTAACGTGATGCAGAAGTGAATACTACGGGAGAAGAAAGAGACAAAGAGAGGTGAACCTTGGGAAAAGAAAAAAAGATTTTCCAAAGTAAAGCAGCTCCAAACACAGGAATTCACTGGCTGCTTCTTCATGTGATTTGTGACAAATGTCGTCATCTAAGTTGTACCCAGCCCTGGGAATCAGGGCTCTCAAACGCATGGGTTGTGAAGCACAGGCTGGCGTGAGGGCTTCTCGGCATAATCAAGAACCGTCCTGACAGAATGAATACAGCTGGCTCTTCTGTCCTACCCCTCCCCTCAAACACTGTCACCCATGTGAGCACCAGTGGGATGCTTTTATCTTAGATGATGAACCCTCATGGGAATAAGGCCATTGGGGTCTTGAAGGATGGCAGAGCAAAGAAGAAATCCTAATTTTTCCTGGAGGGAGGCTGGGGTACAGAGGGATTGTGAAGAAAAAAAAACAGATGGGAGGTTGCCAATGGTGCAAACATGTGCCAACATATGAAAGGATCAACATGTGAAGGACACGAAAGAGACCTACTCTATTGGGGTGGGGTGTTTATTTAAAGGCATCATGGAAGATCGGGTTAGGAAAGCATATTAAAGAAGACAGTAGCAGGCCTGAATGATTAGAGGCCCTCTGGAAGGTTCTGAGCTAAACATTACTCCGGTAACAAGTCAGTTTATAAGAGCAATCTGATGTCTGTATGAGACGGATCAGAGAGTACAGCGCCTAGAAAGAGTAGGGATGGGCTAGGGGGTGTCTTATGACTGACCCCTGAACTCAAGAGGGTGTCACCTAATTCTGCCAGAGTTTTAAAGCTAATGGTCCTGGTTTGATAATGAATAACTCCAAGACAGGAATCCTATAGGTACTATAGTCACCACTACAGTGCTGGGCTCAAGCAGTCAATCTGCATACTCACCGTGTTATCCAAGTTCTTCAAAAGTCACGGAGCAAAGGAAGGGAGAGTGGCTTCTTCAAGCTTACCTGGATGGGAACTGCAGCTGGTTCAAGTTCCACCCCTTCGCAGTCATCAGGTTAAACAGCCGGTAGATGTCAAAATCACGAGAGCCCAGAGCAATGACTGACAATTGAGGATCCCCAAACACAAAGATGCCTTTGATTTTTTGCAGTCTTAAAACAAGCAAGAAAAGGAACAAAAAGGAAATTCAGCCACATCTATTCCTCCGCTCATCAATTCTCGTTGATCAACCAATGTCCCCCTTAAAACACAGTCTGACCTTCTAGGGCTTCAGTGTTTTCATCTTCTATAACGAGGCAGCTAGACTGCGGTTAGTGGTTCCTAAACATTACAAATATTCAAAGGCCCAAACCTCATTTGGATCCAATGACTCAGAATCACCAGTTCCTAACCTGTCTGCCCAACTCCCAAATTATGATATGACACGGAGGGGCATCTGAGGCAGAAAAGACGCACTTAAAAAAAAATACTGCAAAAATAATCCCTCCATCCTGCAGTTTAAAAAATGTCATATGGGAGGTGACCCGTTAGCTCAGTTGGTTAGAGCGTTGTGCTGATAACACCAAGGTTGCTGGTTTGATTCCCGCATGGGCCACTGTGAGCTGCGCCCTCCTTAAAAAAGAGTCAACTATGCCATTGTAGCACGAAAGCAGTGTGTAACCAATGACCATGGCTGTTCCCTAATAAAATAAAATTAAAAAAAAGAAAAGAAACACATCATACAGGTAATCCCTAAAGCAAGAAATGGTACAGCAGTTCTCAACAGACAGGTATATCAAAACCATATGCGGGCCTTTTTCAAATGAGACATACCCACTGGCTGCTTCCATTCATCTTTAAGATTCTGAAAAAGCCTCCCCAATACCGGTGACACACAGACAGACAGGTGGGTAATTCGTGAATAAATATGCTAAGCAAAGCATGTAGCCTAGTTCTAGCCTTAGCTTAAGGAGATTTCATCACCTCCACTCTGCTCCTTCTGCCCACCCCCACCCCCACCCTCAATTCTTTTCTTATTCCAGTGATTCTCCAAGTAACTCCTAGACCAACAGCATCAGTGTGCACCAAGAGCTTCCTAGAATGCAAATCCTCAGACCCCCATTGCAGATCTACTGCATCAGAATTCTAGGAGTGGGGCCCAGCAATCGGCATTTTAACAAACTTGATGCATGGTCAAGTTTGAGAACCCTTGTCTGTTAGGACTTGGTAAGAGCTGCCAGTTGTTAAGCCATCCTTGCAGACAAGATGGCCTACAGGTGAAGGCCCTATGTGACCTTCCACGTCACAGCAGAGCAAGGGCACTTATCTTCCCAGGCCAGCACCGCAGTCCTAAGCTGCTGTTCTAAGCCCCTGGTCTCTCGGGAGACAGCCAACGGGCTGGGGCAATGGGTGCTGGACCGGGTAGGTGCCTTGAGCCCACCAGCAGACAAAGCAAAAGACAAGGCAGAATCCCAATCTCCCACACATACTCTGACTTGAGGAAGCGAGCAGTTTTGATGATCTGTTTGGTAGCTTCAACATAGCCGCTCTCACCGAAGTGCATCAAGGCGGCCCAGCAGGCTGCACTAATGCCACCAGGCCGTGAGCCCGCGATGGTCGGGGAAGCGTAGATGCCACCTTGCCAATCTGGATCCACAAAGAACTGATAGCTCCTGTACTTCTTGTCACTGTATAACACCACGGAAGAACCTTTGGGGGCGTAGCCATACTGGGGGGGAGAAGCAGACAGGTGAGTGTGTAGGTCTGGATGGCAGACCTGTCCCAGAACGCTCATCGGGCAAATTTCTCCTTCACGTGTCAGTTTCTCTATGACATGTTCCCCGCTCACAATAAAAATTCACACTTAGAATGTTAAAGGATAAAGGGAACTGAAGGGACGGGTTGAAATTCTCTATTTCAAGGATGAGGAATCTGAGGTCCAGGAAGAAGAGGGTCTTGTCCAGTTACTCGGTTTACTTCCCCTCTCTCACCTAGCATGTGGTTTTCCTTATTTAAAACATTACACAAGGGGTGTCTGTCAGGATGGAAGCAAAGATAAATTTCCGCTGGAAGCCAGGAAAGAACAGAATTCAAGTCACTTGGAGCAACTAAAATCATGATCTGATTCCCTTCTCATTTTTTTTTGCTTAGTATTAGACCTCCTTTTTAAAGAACATTATAGTGCTCAGAATCTAGAAGCTACTCAATCCAGCTTTCAAATAAACTGATGTAGACTTTGTCTCAGTCCACAGGAGGTGGCAGACATGGACATTTCAAACATTACAAACCAAACATTCCTGAGTAAGTTAAATTCTTCCCTTTTTCCGAAGGACTTTCCCATCGACATACTCCTGTCACTCGGGTGCAGGAGCCCCCATCGCATGGCAGCTGCAGCATTAACCTGCGTCCTCGCTCAGGAATTCCAGTATCAACCTCGCCTCCACCCTCACCCAAACAATCTCAAGGCTTTAGGGAACTCTTTTATAAGGGCCACCATACTAGCAGGTCCCAGTTCCATACAGAAATTCACATATGGAACAAAGATAACAGGTTCCTTCCCACAACTGCTTGTCACCTGAATCAGCCGCCCTGGTGAGAGCAAAGAGCCAGATTTAACTTTACATTTGGGGGGAAGGTAATGTTTTAACCAATTTATTTTGTGGATAATCATCAAAATAATCCACTGTCTACTTTAACATTTGGCCTCTTCCCCAGCTCACCTTGTGCGTGTCCGCTGAAATGCTGGTCACACCTTGCACCCGGAAATCAAATGGGTGCTCCAGTGGGTATCCTGCTTTTTCCATGAAGACGATGAGGAAGCCCCCCAGACAAGCGTCTACATGAAGAGGTATTTTGTATTTGACAGCCAGCTAGTTCCAAAAAACAAAGACCATGGGAAATTTCATTTGTAGTCCTAGAAAAAAACTTCACAAGGCATGGTTGGGAAGGTGGGCTGTAACCACCAGGCCATGATGTACTATGTCTTCCATGTTTTAAAAAACAGGCTGTTTTTGACATTCCTAATAAAAAAGCTCACCTTTCAAATGTATTTAGCCTTCACAATAATTCATCTGAAATGTGGTATCCATTTTATATTTAAATATGCGGGGCCTCAAACTCACTGCAAAATCAAGCAGGAAACGAGCAGCACTCTGATTTCGGCAGCCTCTGGAGGGGGGTGGGGCAGTGGTACGGGGCAGCGTGGTGAGTACCGCCCTCTGGTAGGCATGCTCCTAAATGCAGGTCATGTCCTGATCTGAATCAAGATGTCAGTCCTACTTTAGAATATCCAATTTAAACAAAGCCTTCTTCCTTCTATTATTCCTCCCCAAGGCAGAAGCTAACTTTCAGGGGCTCCAAACAGAACTGCAGGACTTAAAACACAGCTGCTGAGAGCTATCCATCACTACTGTGCTAAAATCTAAACTCAAAATCATTATTTACCAAGTACTGCACCACGAGATTCTATTTTTACAACCTGAATTGGACTGCCTAGACGTCCATGTCTCTCACGTACCTTGGCCACTTCAGGGACAGGATCTATCACACCGTGAGGAAACTGGGGGGTGGAGCAGACGAGCATGGCGGTGTTCCTGGAGATGGCCCTTCTCATTGCCTAGGGGTTTAACATTGAAAGGAAAAGGAGCAGCCAGTCCACATGTAGTTTTCTCTCCCACTGCCAAGGTTAACCTAGGCTGCTAACTTAGAGTTCCAGCTCCACTTGTGCCCCTCCTTCACCTCTCCAGCCTGGGAGAAGACCGCCTCCCAACCAAGGTGGCAGAAGACAAACAAGGCCAGATGGACCCATTTGGGGGAAAAGTGAGAACACAACATAAAAACAGCAAAACCACCGTGAAGGTAAAGGAATACTGGGCCAAGAGGCACAAGAGCCGAATGTGAGTCCCGCCCCACCGACCAGCAGCGAGACCTGGAGGAAACCACTTCGCTCAGTCTGTGTCCTCATCTGGGAACTACCATGGTACTAACAGCTTCAATGATGACCTCCTCAGGCTCGCCTAAGGCTCAAATGCCACTTTGATAGCCCTCTGAAAACTATCTTCTACACAAACGCGAGGCAAAAACATAATTACTGAAGGAGTATTATTCAGCCTTAAAAGAAAGTATTGTGGCCAGCCGAGTGGCTCAGTTGATTAAGAGCTTGCTCAAGAGTGCGAGCTCTGAGCAACAGCAGTTCGAGTCCTGGCCCGAGCTGAACTGCCGCAGAGCTGCCAACAGGTGGCAGGATGGCTCAGCTAAAAAAAAAAAAGAAAGAAAGAAAGAAAGAAGTCCTGCTATTTGTGGATGAATCTGGAGGACATTATGCTAAGTGAAACAAGCCACGGCCAGAAAGACAACGATTGCGTGATCTCATTGTATGAGGAATCTAAAACAGTCAAACTCATAAAAACAAGAGTAGAATGGCGGGTGCCAGGAGCTAGAACATGAGGGAAATGGGGAGATGCCGGTGAAGAGGTACCAAGTTTCAATTATACAAAATCAGTTCTGGAGATCTAATGTACTGCCATGTGACTATGTGACAAGTATGGTTAATGCTGCATTGTATACTTGGAATTTGCTTAGAGATCTAGAGTGTAGTCTTAAGTATTCTAACCATGAAAAAAAAGAAAGAAAATAGTAATATATGAGGTGATGTGTATGTTAAAAACTAGAATGTGATTATTTCACAATGTATACTTATACAAAATATTAAGTTGTGCACCTTAAATATATACAACTTTTTATTTGTCAATTAATTAATGTGTGAGTGAATACCTCAATAAAGATGGGAGGAATAATGCCAGGGCTAATAAATTGGAACAGTTCACTTCTGGGAAAAAAATTACTATGATAATGGCAATGGTACTAATTCATGCAGTCAAAACCACAGTGTGAGTCTTGGGGCAAGTTAGTACATGCTCATTTTATAAACAGAGAAGAGAAAGTGAGGGTGACGAAACAATACCCAGGTCTTTAAAGTCTCCAGTTAGGGACTAGATCATCTTCCTATTAGGGTTCAGGAATCTATGAAAAGACTGAAGCAGCAGCCATCAATCACCACTGCCTGTGGTAGCAGTGCAACGATCGCCGCTGCAATCAAAGCCATTTCGAGCCCACAACACTGGGGAAAAAAAAGTCAGTCAGGCGGCACTTCCTGCTTCTCACAGCCCACGGCAGAAAATGGCCTTTCAGAGGAACTCACCCGAACATCCACCTCCATCATTTTGTTCAGTGGAACCCGTACAATCTTCATCCCAAAATAATGGGCTGCTTTGTCAAATGCAGCATGGGCACTTTGGGGGGCCACACTAAATGGTGGGGAAGAAGAGAATAATGGAATTCAGATCAAAATGGGGTTCAAGAGAGAGCACAGTTAGCAGCTAACTTAACTCACCAGGAGTAAACTTCTAATTATTTTTCCTCAAATTTTTAAAAGCGTGTGTATTTACTTTTTAAGCACAAAAAGAGGTCAAATGATATTCTAGAGAAGCCTCCCTACTATTTAGGAAATTATTTTGGCAACAGAAAGAACTCAGAAGTCATCCCACATCAAGGGATCCAAAGTATAAATTAGGGCTGTCCTAGAAAAGAGACAGGAAATTTGGATCAGATCAACATAAAGTGGAGCCTTCTAGTGGTTACCTACCTCCCCACTGAGGGGAGGTACCTCCGTGGGGAGCAAGTTGCTGACACAATACGTGTTCAAGGAGAAAATGAAAGCTTGCTTAGCAGGGAAGTTAAAACAGCAGCCAAGCATCAGGTCAGTGGTCTCCTCCATCTCTGAAAGACCACGATCCTATGAAAAACTAAAATTCCCATTTTCACCACACACTTGGAAGCAGCGTTTCAAATAGTATTGAAAAAGGAAACTGCGTCATCGATAAGAATTTACTTCCAGGCATTCCTCAATTGCTCCACTTTTATAATTAATCTGTTCCTTTTAAGGGAGAAACATCTCTATTACTGAGTAAGTACCAAGCACTAAAGATCTAGGTATGAAGAAAGATGGCAGCCTCATTTATTTTCTTAGGCTCAGTATGAAGCATAGCTTGAACAAAACCCTTAGTCACCGACACCTGCAGGAAAACCATTATCCCAAACAATGGAGTATAAACACACTGTACACGGAGAGGGTCTAGAGGAAAAAAATGCAACCAAATATCAAAATTATGTCCACGGGGTGGCATTATGAGTAAATCTCAAAAGAGATTTTTAAAATTTTTCCTCCCAGAAAACAACCTTCAGGCTGAAATTTTCTTAGGGAGCACCCCAAGGCAGTCTGTTATATTTAACTAACTTTCGCTGAACTACGATAAGCAAAGAGCTTTCCTTTGGCTCCAGGTAATTTGTAATAAATATCACAGGATTCAAAGACATAGTCCTGTCACTCTGTCACTTTTAGAGAAAGGATCTCATTCTTGCTTGCAGTATGTACCACGTATACGCTGGGAGTGGAGCGCAGGGAATGATCTTGAAAATTAACTGGCTGACCCACATAGGATTTTGCTGAGTAGGAAGTGATAAGGGTCAAGGGCACAGGACAGGAGGGAAGTGGACTGGAATTGCCAGAGGATGAGAAGCAGCACGAAACGGATTGCCAGGCCGTCTCACACAGCAGTATTCCAAATAGACAAATCTAAGCTGGGAGATGGGGGGCGGGCGGCAGCCACGCACACATACATTTCTGGAGTTTTGATCCCATTCTCTAAGGCCAGGTCCCGATAAGCTTTGCAGGCCATCAGTATGCTTTCTGTCCCCCCAGAGGTCACCTGTAAGACAGAAGAGATGTCATCCGTGAAAGGGATTTGGAGATAGCTATCATCATGTACTTCCTTCCTGCCCTGATGTGGATGATGTCTGATACAGAAACAGATAAGGTCTCGCATGCCACAGAGCAGAAGTTGCTATGTCTTCCGGAAGGAAAATTTCACTTTGTTGGCTAAGCCCAATCTTATATCAGGAGAAGAGTAAAAACTCACTAAGAATGAGCAGACGCTCATTTGTCTGGGTAAATGCACATCTACCCAGCTCTGTGCATAATCCATTTCCGCATTAATTCATACAATTGCAGATATGATGGGGCATTTTATGGGGTTGTCGGAAAAGTCATGATGTATTTTTTCTTTTTTTTTGTTGCAAAAATGCATCATGACTTTTCCGACAACCCAATATCCATTCAAAAACATCAAGATTGACTTTGATTTAAATTTTCAATGCCCACTGAAGAATGTAAAATTGTGAAGTTACAATTCTAGTAAACTATACATAAGAAGACCAATTTAGGCATTCCGAAGTGAATTTGTGGCTTCTGGCAAGTTTGGAAAAGAAAAGCCGAAGGCTCTACTTAAAAGTCTGAAATCAAAACAAAAATCTTAATGCCTTTTAAATGAAATAAAATGTTTTCCTGAAGCTAAATCTAGCCCCTCTGATACAGGCAAATTTCTTTTCCTGCGTTGAAACAAAAAGATTCAGAGGTTATTTCATTCATCCTATTGTCCTCACTGGACTACAAACTCATGAAGGTGAGGACCAATCTCTTCATGACAATATTCCTGGTACCTGATCTAGTAGCTGACACCTAACAGCCCCTCAACTACCACTTCTTAATGCCTGATTTGACTCTTAGTAAACTACTAACACAGGCATTTCATACCCATCCAGCTATTTTTGGATAACATTTAAGAATGAACATTTTAAAAATGAACAGAAAAAAAGCCATAGCACTGAGCTAGGTGGATATTTTCGTAGATTTACCACTTCTGAAGATTCATACAATCTTACGTAGCTTTTTCAATTCACAGGTGAGAAAACTGAGCCCTAGGAGACTAAAGTGATTCACTCAATGTCACCCATTAGCATCTGTTGATAAGAGGTAAAACTTTCTACATTTTCATATTTAGTGTAGCTTAATATGAGCTGGAACAAGAGAAGGTGGTTACTGAAATTTCCTAATATCCACATATAGGACAAAAATAGCATTAGATACAAAATGCCAGTGGTCGAGAGTTACATGGACGATCAGCTGAGAGGAGTTAGTCATTTTTGGATTCAGGAAGTCTCATGAAACATGTGACCACCATCCACAAAGTAATGCACTGAACTGGGGCACAGAACACTTGTTTGTAGGTCTCTGCATTTTTATGCTGGAGAAGACAAAATGCTTCCAGTTGAGGTCAGCTCTGCAATCAGCAGCATGTTCTGCGGTCTGGCATAAAACCTCGGAATGTCACATGAGGAGCCAAACCCATTGTGAACGAAGTCTGGAAAGGAGCAGCCAAGCCCAGTCTCCAGGGAGTCGATCTCTTACTAAGGCCCACTAATGACCTAAGCAAAAATATTTCCAAACCCCTACTCACTCATGTCACATGTCCTATTTTTAGACCAATAACGGATCATATCAACATCTATTTGTTGGGCAAACGCCAGTGAACTTCTGACTATAAAAGCAGGAACACCTAAATTCTACTTCTAATTTTTATTTCTGATCCCCCAATTCTGTGTTTAAATATGCTATTCTCCCACTCCCCTTCACCATACCCTAAGAAAAACGAAAATTTAGTTGTGAAGTAAGAAGCTAGAGGCCTCAATAGCTACTTGCTATGTTAGTCAACTTCTTTCAACATTTGTAAAAACTCTCACCCTGATACATAACATGTATGTCAGAAAAAAAGAGTAGAACATGACCTGTTTGGAAAATTTTCTTTTAGATGGTATTTGGCCCTAATGGCATTTGCATAAGCCAAGATTATTTTCCTTGGCAACCTAATTGCTTTTGGTATATGAAGTCACCACTCATCCATCCTGAGGCAAATGAAGTTACTAAAAGGAAAGAAAGCTGAAGGTTAAAGAACAAAGAACGAGAAGAGTTTAATAACTTAATTGGGAATAGTCTAAAAGCTATCCAGCCACCCTTTGGCTTTGTCTTCATGTTTCCCACCTCTGAACTCTCTTCACCAAAAGCAGCTGATCCAAAGAGACTCGGACACAGAAAGAGATACAGAGAGAGAGAGAGACTGAGGAGAAACTCAAATAATCCCAGCAGTAACTAGTTATATAAAGTCTAAGTATTAGCAGAGACTGGGAATCTTACACCTATCCTCCTCCTGATCCCCGACACATCCACTAAAAAAGATCATAATGGGAGAGACATAGCTTCAATGTACCAATGCAAAAACAAACAAAAAACATCCTGGTATTGGACTTCTGGATCAAGACGGAAGGCTAAAAGTACTTCACAGGTTTTTCTCTCCCCCAAGACCAGTAAGAATGAAGAAAAGAAGTAGTAAAAACTTGCAATAACAACTACCAAACAAGGAAAGAGAGATACCTTAATGCAATAAACTTCAAATAGTAACAATGAAAAAAAGAAACAGGTTTCCAAGCATAGCAGGTAACAAAACACAGTTCCAAGCCCTGGAAATTATCTGGGTGAGTCAGCAAAATCCTGAGAATTCTCATAACACCCCCAAATCTTCAAAGAAGCAAGTGGAAGGGGTTTCCTTCTTTTCTGATCTTCAGATCAGTGAGTGGTGGACATGATGGTCAAGGAGAAACAAGCAGCATGGGGACAGAAAACACCTGGACTGACACTTTAAAGACTTCAGAGATACAGGATGGATTACAAAAATAATCAAAGCCCAAAGGGTATATTATTCTCTTCCAACTAGGCAGTGAACTCTGGTAGGTAACTTCTAATAAATCTCAGAAGACGAGATCTAGATATATTCTAATTCAGGTGGAACAAAGCTTTAGCTGAGCCCTGCCCTCAACCAAACACTCAGACAAGAAATCACCCACTCTGCATCAATAACAAAGAGAATGTCTAAAGACAGCCACCCACTCATGAGCCAAGATGAAAGAAAATGGCACAGGTGTACAAAGAAAAAAGGCGGTGTGCAAAATAAAAGCCCAACTCTGAAGGTAACTCCCAAGGAACAAAAGGAAATGCCTCGTAACTGTTTGTCATGACAGGGCAATATCACAACATGAATTCAAGAAAACAAGAGTTAACAGACTGGACAACGAAACAACAAAATGAGGCTGCAAACCTAAAAAAAAAACAAACAACAACCCAAAGTACCAAACAGCACCAACACAGAACTAATAAATAATTAGAACAAGGAATAGAATAAACACTGCTGAGAATAAAACGACTGACTTAGAGGAAGGGTTTAAGATAAGTTTAGTGAACCCATTTAATTAAGACACAGACTGAAAGTTCAATGTCACGCCACACCTGGAGAACTGTGTCCATCTGGCTAGTTGTAGATAACCAAAAAGCATTCAAAGAATGACGGGTATGGTTGGCAACCTGTGAAATCATATTCTTTAAGGGAACAGCAGCTGGGTAACCTAGGAAAAATGTGGAAGAAAAGATTCAGGGGGAAAGAGGCTTTCAAGTATACAAAGGTCTCTCTCATGGAAAAAAAAAAAAAGCAATTACGCAGCTTCTATTTCCAGAAATACAGTTTATATCCCTTAGGCAACCCTCCTACCTAAAACAACTAAAAATCCTGATGAAACATTACATTTTTTTTTAACCTCCACCAGTGAGCTAACATAAAGGAATATACTGAACCCCTAAACAAAGCAAAATCAAGAATCCTACAAGGTGAGTGAGTGCCAAAACTGGCTTGAACTCTGAGGGCTGCTATCAACCCCTAGAGATCTCAAACTCCCACAATGACAAATGAACAGGAGATAAATTTAGGACCTGCTCAAAGGAAGGAGTCTCATGGTAGATGACTGAAAACACGGGAACTACACCCATACTCTGATGGGTACAAGAAATCAACCCCATTGGCACAGGAGAGGATAGCAAGAAAAATTGCTTTTTTCAACCCTGATACTCAGGTAAAGAAAAATAAGATCGCTCAAGAATGTATAACAAGACAGCTTTTATGTGAGTTTGTGGTCTGAATTCACATTACCTCTGTAGCAAACCACAAGCTGAGAGATGTACTTAAATTGGTTCCAATGTGGTAGCACTTCCCAGAAACTTCCCAACAACTGGCTAAAGTAATGATAAATCTTCTCTGGAAGAACTTAACTTCAACCTAGGCCTCAAGGTTAAGTTCCCAGGAAAATGAGTGGCTCAGAGATTTAAAAAAAAAAAAAACACACTACAATATAAGGATACAAGACAACATGAATGAAACCAGCAGAAACAAAAAGGAAAGGCTCGTGAATAACAGACCTGTCGGACAGAGAATATAAAATAATTATGTGCAATATATTTAAATAAACAAAATATAAGCCAAGGAAAGGAACAATAAAGAACAACCAGGCAGGTTAAAAAAAAACAAGCAGAATTCTCAAAAAAAAAAAAAAAAGTACAGTAAATGAAATTTAAAAACCCAACAGAAAAACTAAAGTGTAGAATAGACACAACTGAAGAGAAAATTAATAAAACCCCCTGTACTTATTACACAGCTTCAAGTTATCGACTCATAGCCAGTCTTCCATCTACCCCCAAGTGCCCCGCCATTGTTGCTGTTGAGAATATCAGTTGTTCTAATAGTTATACTTTTACAGGTTATCTATTCTTTTCTAACTGCTTTAAAAAAGACACCAATTAAATGTGAGTTAGCCCTTCTCACTCTGTCATGTGTCTTAACCTCTCTTTTGTATTTCTAATTTTGCCTCTCTAGACTTTTATCTGGTTAATTTTTTTTCTTTTTTAATCTGTCTTGCTCCATAAATTTGACTTAGGAACCATGTAAATATTTTGCATAGTTATAAGTGAACCAGGGCTCCTTGAACAAACGGCTGATTTTGGGTCTGGAACAGGAAATGTATATGGTAAACACGGAATATTTCATCAAATAAAAAAATATTTGTCAAAAAAAAGAAGCTGCAGAGGAGGAGGAGGAAGAAAGGCAGCTTTCAAAAACTAGTGAGTCATGCAAAAGGACCCAGGAGCTGACATTAAGAAGCTTCCACTGGCCAGAAGTAGGGAAATTTGGGCATTAAGTTGAGTAACAACTGTAATGGACTGAAGCACACATAATACTCTACAATTTATCCACCCTACTGTCAATAGACATTTGAATTATTTCCAGTTTTTAGCTCTCATGAACAATACTACTAGAATATACATCTATCCTGATACACAAATGTACTAGTTTTTCTACAGTATATCCTGAGTAGCAGAATATCAGGGTCATAAGATGTGTATCTTCAACTTCACTGGAGAAGGTCAAACTGTTTTGTAGTTGTTTAACTTACGGTCTCTTAAAAGTTCATAGTCTAAGGCTGGCCAAGTGGCGCGTTGGTTGAGTTGGCTTGGGACGCCAACTCTGAGCAGCAGGGCCCTGGTTCGGATCCCACATGGGCCAGTGATGCTGCACCCTCTACAGCTAAGATGGTGAACAACAGCTCGACCTGGAGCTGGGCTGTCGTGAGTCGCCAGCGATGGCATAGGCTGCAGTGGGGCAGCAGTGGGCTGCCATAAGCTACCGTGAGTGACCGGCAGCTGGTGTGAGCTTTCATGAGCTGCCAAGAGCCGCCGTGAGCAGCCATCCAATGGCCAGCGAGTGACTGCCTCAGCCGGGAAGAGCACAATGATAATACCAACATGGGCCAGTGAAGCAACATCCCCCACAACTAGACTGAAGAACAAAAGGACAGCAACTTGTCTGTTCCTCTTCCCCAATTCTCCAACGTTGCTCCTCTCCCCCAATTTCCCAATAAAATCTTAAAAAAAAAGAAGTTCACAGTCTAATGACACAGAATACCTACGTACTGTAAGTGTATCATTATCTCCCCTTTATGTTCACCCCATTTGTCTAAATGCCATAAGGGAACCCATTGCTAGACTGTGGTTGGTTCAGTTTTTTAAAGTTTTGGAATTATTCCTGGAAAATGAATGCCAGGAATACTGTTTTGTTAGCTACTGAATATCTGAACAAGTAGATTTTCACAGTACCAACATAAGAATAAAACAACACTGCTTACTGGGAAAAACAAAAAAGTAACTATAAAATGTTCTTGTCTTTGGATGGGCCCTTCAATAAATTTGCAGACTTTATAATGATTATAAAAGTATCTGATAGGGTTATTAGCACCTCTCGGTTACCATTACAGCATACGGGGTTAAATCTATCTATCCTGCATAAGCTAAGATTTAGTTTTTCTCTAAAGAAGACAATACCAGTTTGTAGTAACAACTATAAATGGGAAGTTTATTAATCACACTTTAGGAAAGCTAAAAACATCTACTGGAAAGAATAGCTGAATCAAGGAATCCTCAAGGTGTTTTTAAATATCATTATAGCCTTCCTCCCTCTGCCTTTATTCTTAAACCAATGAAATGAGATTCGATTTATAGCAAAATTAGAAAGTAAACTTCCAGCTCAAGTAAAATGCGAAGCATATAAAAAAATTACGAGATGGTTTGACAAAGTCGTATAGATAAATGGGTAGGGAAGTGGGTAGGATGAGTGGATGAAAGGGAAGGAAAGAAAGAAAGAAGCAGAGAGTACATGTGGCAAAATGTTTATATTTACTGACTCTAGGGTGTCCTTTAAACTATTCTAGCAACTTTATGTAGGTTTCAAGTTTTTCAAAATAAAAAATTAAAGAGAAAAAAATATCTAGAAGGATATATGCCAAAATGTTGATACTATATGGATTACAAAATTACAAGTAGTATTTTAAAATTGCTGTTAATCTGGGTCTTTCTAAAATAATCACATATTACCTGTGTAATTAAAAAAAGTAAAATGATTTTAATAAACTCTTCTATTTTAAGCTAAAAAAAAAAATTATTGGGTGCCACTTGCATATACTTACACATCCACAGGAATCTGGGCCCCCATTGAACAGGGAACAAGCTATCCTCACAATCTCCGCCTCTATCTTCCGCAGCCCTGGGAAGATATCTGGATGCAGTGGGTTACTCCACGCAAAACTGCCATAAGCCTGCAAAGAGACGTAAGCAGATATAAAGTAAGACAGTTACATTGTATAGGACAAAGAATCATACACTAAACAAGTTTCTAGGTATTTGGCACAACATTAGAAGCTGAAAAAATGGCAAGATACGTTCCCTAACCTAAAGAAGATCAACATATAGCAGAGGAGACATACATGCAAATAAATTATTTTACAAGGTGGTAAGAAAAGAAGTATAAATGTGGTTAAAAGCACAGACTAAAACACTAAACAGGCCCAGTTTGAAGTCTTAGCTTTTGCCTGTCACTTCTCGCTGTGTAATCTTACGTCAGATAACTTCTCTGAGGCTTTTCCTCATATGCTACAGGAGATCGTCATGGCACTGATCTGATAGGGTTCTAGCGGTAAGCAAGTAACATAACGCATGCAAAGAACTTAGTAGAGCGTCTGGCAAAGCAGCTATTGAAAGTGCAATAGCAGATGTGTGTACATGAGGTAAGGGGCCTTGAAAGGGGGGATAATGAGCATGCTGAGTGGTCTGGGGGTGTCTGCTTAGTGGAACCTTGGGTGATGAATAGGAATTCATCATTCAAAACAGGTGGGATAAAGGAGAGAAAGGAAAACAACGTAAGAGCAAAGTGTACTCTAAAGAGAAAAGACAGAAATTAGTGTTTACGTGGAAAAGTAATAATAGGAGTGATTGAAAAAAAATTAGGTGAGAGCTGGGTCACAAAGGGACTTCTCTACATAAGCAGCTTTTCTTCCTGTAGATAACGAATGGGAAGCCAACGAAGGATTTTTTTTTAGCTGAGCCATCCTGTCACCTGTTGGCAGCTCAGCGGCAGCTCAGCTTAAGGCGTGAATCAAACCCGGGGACCCTGTTGCTCAGAGCTCGCACTCTTGAGTGAGCTCTTAACCAACTGAGCCACTTGGCCAGCCCAGGATTTTTAAGCACACAAGTAAGATCAGAGCATTATGTCAAAATACAGCTGAGCAAAACCTGGAATACTTAGTAAGGTATGAGCAGTCTCATGATTATCATAACCAAACACAAAGACCTCAGAGACCATCAGTCAATGCTAATTTTATATGACAAAGTGGGATTCCAAAAATAAATTTGACTAGACAGGGAAGGTGCTAAAGGCAATTCTAAAATCAACCAACAGTGAGAATTATTTTAATTATAAGTGAGACCACTGCTCATTCTCAGATCATTTGATTTGAGGCTCAGGTAGTATCAGAAATTATGACCAAGTTTCTACTCCTTGTCTCTTCTTATCAAACAAAATGTGTCTCATTAATAATTTCAAACGATGGGACTATCTTCCCTGGTAATCTCCCTTCTACACAGGGTGTCTATAGCCTGGAAACATATGTAATATTTTACTTTATTACAGATGGAAGATGTCTTTGACAATATTATGCATATTCAGCTGCTTGGGTGAAGAGACACTTTCTAAGCTTCTTTAGTTTTATTATAACAATAAACATTTCTTAAGTAACTTTAAAATTACCCAAGTAAGGAGAAACAATGAGGCAATCTAAACTGGCAGAGGCCACACACAGTCCCTTCAAGTACTGGGCACTCACCTTCACGAGGAACTCGGTGAGCGTTTCCTCCCCACAGTACACTGCTCCGGAGGCTCGCCCTTCTTGCCAGAAGAGATCTGCAGAGAAAGTTCAGACCACTGGGTCAGTAAGCAAGAACTTTTGGGAAGACAGGTTCTCGTCAAGCACAAATACAAAGGAACCCCTCTGAGTACAAAAGACAAAAAGTTTGAGTGGACATCCAAAGGTGTCCTTATATTACATCAAGAAAGAAACAATTCCAGGCTGGCCGAGTGGCGCGTTGGTTAAGAGCTGGCTTGGGATGCCAGAGGGCCCCGGTTCGGATCCCACATATGAGGGCCAGTGACATTGTCCTCTACAGCTAAGATGCTGAACAACAGCTCAACTTGGAGCTGGGCTGCCGTGAGTCCCCGGCGATGGCGTAGGCTGCAGCCCCTGCTGCAGTGGGTTGCCATGGGCTACCATGTGTAGCCAGCAGCCAGCGTGAGCGGCCAACAGCCACCATGAGCGGCTGTCCAGAAGCCGGCGACTGATCTGCCTCGCCGGGGAAGAGCGCAATGATGGTGCCAACTTGGGCCAGTGAAGCAATGTCCTCCACAACTAGACTGAAGAACAAAAGGACAGCAACTTGTCTGTTCCCCTTCCCCAATTCCCCAGGGCTATTCCCATCCCCCAATTACCCAATAAAAATCTTTAAAAAAAAAAAAGAAACAATTCCAATAGAGCTATCACAGCAAAATAAAGATGAAAGACCACCGATTACAATCAACAACAGTATGGAAAAGATACTCACAGCAGCTAGGTACAACAGAGATAGTCCGATAATAACACTGTCCTCATCCCCAGCTGCCTTCTAACAGCAGAAAAATTTTCCTCTATCTCTATACTCATTTCCTGTTCTCTGTATGGCTTAGTGCAACCTTTTTCTTGCAATGCTTCCTTCGTCTCCCCCTTTCTATCTAGTCATAGGAAGTGTGGGAACTGTTATGAGCAGAACTGGCAGAGAAGAGCAACACAAAAGTGAAATTTCAGTAAACTCTCTTAGGGTTGGGGTCAGGGAATTGAATCCATGACTAGACAAGGCACAACGAGACATCTTAGTCTCAGGGGCCCCTCCTTCCGATGAACATGGAAACCCACACAGAACTAGTCACTGGCTTCCAGAAAACATATGCTGCAGCTTTCGGATCAGGAACACAGTCAGCACTGGGATAAAGCTCCGAGGAAAGGTTCCTAACTAGAATATAAGGTCTGACTTTCTATTTCCTGTCTGAGGTTCTACATTCTACCGACAAATCTGATAATGTGGGTACCACATGGCTGTACCCTAATGAAAGTGGACAGGGAGAAAGCAATTACAAAAACACACTAACTGAAAACTATAGCCCTGGGCTCTGCAAAGATCGTCAGCTGCAACAAGAGAGCAGAGGGCTGAGCAGTGAATATCCCGACTAATCCCTCCATCTCTCGCAATCTGCCAAACTCTGGCCTGCAGCGAGTTAACTTTCCCTCTTTCCTTAGAAACTCCTCTGTACCAGGCACGTCTTCAGACCAGAGGCCACCAGACTCTCACAGATAGAATACATGGTTTCATTTCCTGTTCTTTTACTGGCGCTAGAGTATGGCAATGGGCATGACTTAAAAGTGGAAGGGCAGGAAATATGGTGGCAGCAGCCAGCCCTCAGAATCATAGAAATCCTTAATATACAGGGCTCAGAGTGCCATTCCCTGCTTTATATCATCTATAAACCCTGGACTGTATCTTTGTACCAACCAATGTCAAAAACTCAACACATGTCAATTAGACATTTTAAAATATATCTGTTGAAATGTAATGTGGTAGCCTGGGTTGAATGGTAGAACATAAAAAAGGACATTAGCGGAAAAAGTGGTGAAATAGGAAAAGGGTTGTAATTCAGTTAATAGTGCTATATCAATGTTAATTTTTTAGTTTTCACAAATGTACCATGGTTATTTTAGATGTTAATATCAGAAGCTGGGCAAGGGGTATATGAGAAATCTCTGTATTATCTTTGCAAATTTTCTATAAATCTGAAATTACAAACTAAAAAGCCTACTTTAAAAACATTATTTATAATATAGCCTTAAGCTGTAACAAACATGTGTCTGTGTTAAGAGTTAACATTTAATGAGCACTTACTATATGCCAGGTATTATACATTTACATGTATGATCTCATTTAATTTCTATAATCACCCTTTCAAGTTAAGTATTATTATTATCCTCATTGTAGAGAGACAGAAATTGAGGCATAGAGAAATTAAGCAACTCACCCAAGGTCATACTTTAAGTGGGCAAACCAGGGTGTGAATCCAGGCTGATTCCATGGGCTGTACTCTTAAACATTAAGCTACTTGCTACATTTATCCTTCGTGTGTGCGTGTGTGTGTGTATGCGTGTGTGTATTACACAAAACACTATTAACATTCTGATACATACACACACACACACACATCATCATCTGTGTTTATCTTTTGATGAGGGAATCCTAGTGACATTTTCTTTTCTTTTGTGCCTTTATGCAGATTTCACAATTTCTCTAATGGAGCTGTGCTTCATTTTTATTACACATATTCTCTTTTTAAAAAACAAATGCATCTGTTTTATTCAGGCTTACGAAAGGAAATGGAACCAAGTTCCACTGTCTCTGAGATTTGTTTGCTTTATGGATGAAGGTTAAATCTAAACATAATTTTCGAAAGATGAAATTCAGCCTTGGAGGCAAGGAGTGGGCTCTGCTGAGCGTCTGAGCACCAGTGACGGGCTGATCTTCACCGGCGCAAACACTGAACGGCAGCCCAGCCAGGTCGGGAAGTGGGCAGCGCGTGCGCCGAGAGCCTACCCATAGCGCTGTAGTCCTTGAGCTTCTCCAGAACCGCGGACGGGCTCAGGCCTTGGGAGGGCAGAACTGTCACGTACTCTTTGTCCACTTTCAGAAATGACATGTTCTTGCTAATATCATCCTTGGCCTTGTTCAACTCCTCTTGGATCTCCAAAGGCAAGAAAGACAAAGTTAACCAGGAAATGGAATACAGTACAGAGAGTAGACGAACCAGTTATCACACCAAGTCGGCTGCCGAGGCCTGAGCACCGTCGCACAAGTGCTACAGAACAAGGGTGGTATTTCTTCTTAAAGAGATATGGTGACAGTTTAACCATTCATCTATTTTCTGGCATGTGCCAAGTTTTCTTAGAAATCTGAAAAGTCAACTTTCTCTCTGAAGGTCAAAGATGCACTCAATTTTCCCCACCCTTTCCTCTGCTATGTCGACACCACCACTGCTTTACTTGGTTTCCATTTGCTAATGTCAGCATTGCTTTGAGGGCAATATTTGGACTTTGTTCCTGCCCTGGCAGCGGCCACGGTGTGTGCTATGGGACACACACCAGAGCCATGAACAACAGCCAGAAAACAGGCCAACCAGCAGGAAAAGGGATTCTGGTGCCTGTGCAAATGATGAGTTCCTTCATCAGGCATGCACAGGGCACAGCAGGAACCGGGCATCTGCACAGCTCTCACATACATGCTCAAGACGTCCTGGGAGGTGCCAGGAAGGCTGCATTCTACCTCCTCAGGCTGCTGACCGCTTATCCTGTTTGACCCATAAGTGCTAGGAGGAGCTAAGGTCTTTTCTGCTACATAATTTATCACAGAGAAATAACTAGTTATTTCTTTTCCATCCTCATAGCAACAGCGTCTGAGGCATTTTCTTTCATTCGTTCACCCACTCAATAAATAGTTGTCGAACCACCGCTGTGGGCCAGGAATACATAGTGAACAACACAAACAGAGGCAGTCCACAGTGAAAACAATTCCTGTTCTCATGAAGCTTTTCTTTAGCAGCAGGGACAGAAAATAAGTCAGTTAATGAAACGAGCTGTGGGTGAAAAGAGTCGAGTAAGGAAGCAGGACGGCCGGGGCTGCCATCTGTGATAGGAGATGCTTGGCTGGTGGGCTGGGGGAGGAGGGGCTGCATGTCACAGTCTGTGTGTGTTACAGCGACATGTACACGTGATCTCACTGGATCCAGACAGTTAGAGTTTCTCATCTCTAGCCATGGATGCTCTCAGATGCGGCCCTCGATGAGACCACAGGGAAAGCCACTCCTGTAAAACGTGTTTCTAACAGTCTAACGGGCAGGCCCTGGCAGGCAGCAGAGTCAACACTCTTGGGCAACGCCGGGGCATGTGATGAGCATGAAGGTATTTCTTCAGTTGTAAATAAAGAATTACGTTACATAAAGGGTGGCCCTGCAACAGGAGCACACTAGGAAAGCTGAGCTTCCACGCATAGATGAGCTGTGGCAGTAAAATCAACAGACAAAAAAATGATGATGAGCGGGATCTCAGAGCAGAGTCAAGTCTGCCCACCCCTAATTCTCACCCCAGAACCTCTATCACATTTTAAGTTCTTCACAGCATTTATTTCAAAATGAAATTCTTAGGTATTTGTTTAGTTATTCATTTTCTGTCTGTCCTACTAAAATAGAAATGCCACAGAGGAAGTACTTGGTCTTGGTCACCACTGTATCCCCAGCACCCAGAACAGCACCTGACGCTGAGCAGGTGCTCAATAAACCAGGGATGTATAAGTGAACGTAAGGGAATGAATGAGAGCGGGATGCACACATGCTCACTCAAAAACAAATCGCTTTTTGTCTCTGAGCCTCAAAATCTGCTTCTAAACAATGAAAGGTAACTATGTAGTTTCTAAGCCCCTTCCAATTCTTTTATTTATAATAAGATAACAGAATGGGTCCTGAAACTCTAGCATTGTCTTGAAATCTGAAATTGAAGGAGCAAAGTGTGAAGAATAAGGGCAGAAAAAATACGGGGACTAATAAGGGAGAATGCTATTATCCTTTGTGCTCCGGTCCATTCTTTGTATCTTCCCTATTCCCCTACCCCTTACTCTATAAGGACTTAATTTTAAGGCTTAATGTAATTTGGGGTCAAATAAAAAGCCTACTTATCTACTCTCATGCACCTTCTCCACCCTAGTTATTCCTTCCACTTCCCCATAGGAAATGAACCTGAAAATATATGGTTTGGAAGAGTTAGCATAGTGGTCTGAATGGATTTCGGTCAAAGGCTAAAATATAACTGACATCTTTTCTGGTTTGGTCAGGAAAGGGGAAAGGGAACTGAAAGCCAAACGTAAAAGAAAGCTTGGAGGGAAGCTGACGGGCAGGGCAGGTTGCTGGGGAGATGAAGACACCCAGGACTCATGTGCCTGCCTGAAAGCTTGCAGTGGGGCCTGCCCTGTTTATCTTCATCTGTGATAAAGAACCTGCGGGAAGAGGACAGAGGTGACTGTCTTATCCTCAGCGTGAGTGAGGGTACAGAGGATACAGTGAATGGAACATACTAGACTATGGAAAGGTACAAAGAGCAAGAGAATAGCTCTATTATCTAAGTTTCTAAACCTGAGATCAGCAAACTACAGCCCAAATCTGGCCTACACCTATTTTTATTTAGTTTCACTGGAACACAGCCAGGCTCACTCCTTACCTATGGTTCCATCCCTGCGATCCCTCTACAAGGGCAGAGCTGAGGAGTTGTGACAGACACAGTATGGCCTACAAGGCCTAAAATGTTTCATATCTAGCCCTTCACAGAAAAAGTTTGCCGGCCCTGACCTAAACCATGCATGCACCCAACCCCTGGATAAATATCTAAATTCAGCCACAGGCAAATATTGCTCCAAAGCATCATGTTACTTCTATCAGGTTTTCTAACTTCAAATTCTTCCTTAACAGACATCTCCTTTCTCCTTTGGTCACATGTGTTGGAGAAAGCCTTAAGTCAGGTTTCTCAGTCTTGGCACTTCTGACATGTTGAGCCAGATAATGATCTGTTGCAGGGGGCTCTCCTGTGCATTGTAGGATGTTTAGCAGCATCCCTGGCTTCTATTCACTAGATGTCAACAGCACTCCCCTCCAGTTGTGATACCAAAAATGTCTCCAAACTTTGTCAAATGTTCCTTATAGATGCAGGAAAAAAATCACACACACACCCCCCCACTCCATCTTGGGAATACTAGGTTCAGTAAATAAAAAGAGGTATCACCAAGGAGGGGAGACAGAGGCAGATCTACACAGATTCCACTTACCTTTCGACCAATAATAGGCATCTTCCTGATGAGCTTAAAGCATTTCTTTTTAAACCTTGACCATAAACCTGAAAGAAACAAATGGTTCTATTAACCAAATAAACTTCCATGGATATGACATGCTAGTCATAATGTATGAACTATTCAAATATGTCCTCCACAATCTCACTTGGTTTCAGATCACAAAGGTAGTTTCTTTCCTTTCAAAAAGAAAAAAAAAATCTTTTAAATTTCATTTTTTAATAAGTAATATACTTACATGGTTCAAAAAGTAAAAAATACACACACACACACACACACACACACACACACACACACAAACACACACACATAGCTAAAAGTTTCTCTCTCATCTACCCCCAGACTCTCATCTTTCCCCCAGGTAAACACTACTATTAGTTTCTAGAACAGCCTTCTAGAATCTCTTTATGCATATACGAGCAAGAATAAAGACCTATACTTATTTGTCTCTCCTTTCACACAAAAAATAGCATGCCCTAGCACCGTACTACACCTTGCTTTTCTACTTAGGAATAGTCTCCTCAAGATCAGTGCTTCCTCATTCATTTTACAGCTGTAGAGTACACGTATTTCATTATATGGATGTACCGTAACTTATTTAACCTGCCCTTTCCCGATGGACACTTAGATTGTCTCTAATATCTGAAATTACTAACCATGCTGAAATAAATAATCTTGTAACACACACCATGCTGCACACATAAGAGAATACCTACAGGATAAATTCCCAGAACCAGAACCGCTAGGTCAAACGGCAGATGCATTACAGAATTCTTCACCTCTCCAAGGTTTCTAGACGCCCAGCATTTCTCTTCCCTCCTCTAAAACAAATCAACCACCCATGCTTTTTTTCAGGATCTAGGCTCCAGTCTCTCGTCCTAGCAACATTTTCTGGGCCTAAAAAGGCCTTCAATAACATGGACACCCATTAGCCTCCATTCAGTCAGGCAGTACATAGGACAAATATGGAATTCGGATCCTGTCAATTACAATAATTATAAATACATGGCATCAAAATAGATTGTTCTACCTTTTAATGAATTCACATTCAATATACTTCAATTGACTCTGGCAACAAGATTTTGAGGTTGGCATGGAAGGTACTACATATTATCCAAAGGCTACAAAGGATCAAGGCATCAATAACTTGTTCAAGGCCACAGATCAAATCCCAGACGGAGCAGGGATTCAAATAAAGTCTCTGTTTTTGAGTCCTAGACTCCCAGGGCTATAGGCTGCTTCAGATGCACAATAGGAATTTCCGGTTATCCCAAATGTGTGTAAGACCTAGCTTTTATGCAAGGCCTGAACTGAATGTGAACTGTTACTGCATTCTTGGGAGATCCAGGCATCCGGTTACTCTGGCCACAAGGAGCACTCTGAACCACCACAGGGCATGTCTGCACCTTCTTCTGGTACTCATTATATGATGCCTTGCATTTCTCCTGCTTGTTTCTGCTTAGGCTGCATCCCTGTCTTTCTGTCTCGCCCAACAGTGCTGAGCACTGTAGTCAACAGCCTGTTAAGTGTCTGGGATAAGCCAGGTAACTAAGACACAGGCTGAATAAGAAGACAAAGGGATTAAAACCACTTACTTGTTTGTAGTTACTTTTTTGTTTAAATTTTGGAGTATTTCCTTTCAGTCTTATGTTCTACATACACATTTTGATACATAGCTGAGATCTTGTAGTATGTACAATATTGTATACTCTTCTCACATATTTTAATAGTCCATCAAATGAGTATAACGTAATATTGGCTATTTAAGTTGCCTATTATTTGACTAAAGTTGACCCTTGAACAACATGGGTTTCAACTGTGCAGGTCCGCTTATATATAGATTTTTTTCAATAAATCTACAGCCCTCCATATCCCTGGTTTTTGCATCAGTGGATTCAACCAACCGTGGATCAAAAGCAGTATTTTTGATCTGCAGTTGGGAATCTGCAGATGAGGAGGACCGACTGTATACATCATTCTACGCCATTTTACAAAAGGAACTTGAGCCCTCCCAGATTTTGGTATCTGCAGTGGGTCCTGGAACCAATCCCCTGTGGATACCGAGGGACTGTAGTTCAGTTTTGAGGGAATCAAAGTTATATATGAATTTTTTACTGTACGGGTAGTGAGCACCCCTAACCCCCACGTGGTTCAAGGGTCAACTGTATTTCTAACAATGTTAAAGCCATAAAGATTCAGAACCACTTTCTTATTTAATAGGTGGAATAATTAATAAGGTAGAAAGAGGTCTAAAAAAATCAGCAAATTGAGTCATGTGTCCAAAAGTGCAGCAATGTGACAAGGTGGAGGACAAAAGAATAATCTGATGAAAGTGGTGGGGTAAAATGGTACAGAGTTAAAAAAACAGAATATAGGATCAGAGGTGGAGATATTAAAAATGATAAGATCATGTGGTCGTGACCTAAAAAGGTGATCTCAAAAGTAGAAGTCCCTAGAGGCAAAGAAGGAAAAGTAATTAGAATGTGTTAAGGTAGTAAAACAGGAAACGCCAGTGTAGGAACAACAACAGATGGCTCTTTACAGTTTACAAATTCTTCTCACACAAATGATGCCACGTGATCCTCATATTACCCTCTGACTAGGTAAGGCAGGTAGTATTATGCCCCTTTTAATTTGAGGAAACAACATAAGGGTGTTGCCATGACTAGAAACTGGGAGAATTTATCACCCCTCCTATCACATAACTGATTTCTGTTGATGAACTATGGACAATCCCAGTTAAAATCATTATCAAGTTGTAATGATTTGAGCTGAAACAGAGCAGAATTAAGGAAGTAGAATACCTCAGAAAGCTGCTAGCCCCTGCCCATCCTCCACCCCCATCTTCCTGCTGCTCCCAGCTCTTATCTACCCTGGAATTGTCCTGTGTTCCACAGTTACCCTCTCCCCCTCCGAAGGGTATTCAGTTTCAAAATCAGCAAAATTTATCGCTAGTCCAGACTTTAGACTCCTCTAGGGCAATATACTAAAAGCACTCGATTGTTCAGTGATATGTGGAATACTTCTATAATACATGAGCAAGGTGCTGGAAAAAATGGCACTTCTATCAAAATGATCCCCAACGTCTGAAGAGGGAAGACATTTTTATATAAGCCTAAAAGTCGAGTTGGAAGTTACAAAATAAGGAGTGTGTTGTGTGCATATGAAACAATGTTTGACCTATAAAAACTACATTCTGTGTGGTTCAACCTGATTCGGATACAGAAAGGAAAACAGACATAGTGGTTATCTCTAGGTAGCAAAATTTTAATTTTGTTCTTATGGCTTACCTATATGTCTGATTTTCTACTATGAGCATGTACTACTTTTGTAATAAGAAACTGTATGTTATTAGAAATAAAACAACTGAAATGGCTTGGAATTCAGCTCACAAAGATTTAGAAGGCACATCCCATTTACACACTGCTATTAATTTTCCCATGGGATACTCAGAGGCCAGCACATCCCTTTTTTGAACACTAAAGAGTAAGTACCAGGACCAAGATGGCTGTGCTTCTATTACCAGTCGAGCAAAATGCACAAGGGCACCATGGGCTGCAGAACTGGAAACAGAAGTGAATACCTAAAGCTAATACTAATCATAGCAATGAAATATAAATCTCTAGATCTCTATCCTTAACCTGGTTTTACAAATGCACTACCTTAAAAGGAAAAGTACATAGAATGGTGGCTGTCCGGGGTGGGGAACGGGGGGTAAGGGGCATGGGGAGTTATTGTTTAATGGGCACAGAGTTTCAGTTTAGGATGATGAAAAAGCTCTGGAGATGGGTGGTGGTGATGGTTGCACAACGTGATGTGCTTAATGGCACTGAACTGTACACTTAAAAACGGGTGATATGGTACATTTTGTTGTATTTATCACAATCACAATAAATACAGAATGAAACCAAAGTGCATTTACAGCCACTCCTTCGAGTCCTCTGGATTCGGTCACTTCACCCAAGGACAGCATGTTGGGCAGCACTGAATCTAAAGCTTCCCAGACAAGGAACGAGCCTGCGCTTCAGAAGACAAGGGCTGTGTCTACTTCCAAACCACAGAGCAGATGCAGCAGAAGGGTTCATCAGTCTAATTTGTTAGTGTTTATGAGAAAATCCTGCCAGAACAAAGAGCTGAAACTGAGGGCAGTTTTTTATGTTTAGACAGAACAGTCATATCTCATTTCCACTTTAATTAGGTGCAATGGTTACTACACAATGTTACTGGAATGGCTCAATGGCTATCTGCATGGTACAGATAAAACATCTAGAAAAAAATCTAGCTTCTAGGGTTACTTTCCTGAGGGAAGAGGAAGAAAAGCAGGTAAAAAACAAACAAACAAACAAAAAAACCCCAGTTAAAGAGACCCTTCAAACAGATGTTATCAGGGAAGCAAATAATTATGGAAATTTTAAACAAATGAGAAATGACAAGTAAATCTCTTCAATGTTACTGGGATTCTTATCCCAAGGAAGTTAACTTGGATACCCTAAGAGTGGGGAAAGGGTACAGGGGAGCGGGGGGCATGCAGGACCTTAGGAAGGATGGAGGATTGCTAACTGATTGCTAACAGACTTCTCATCTTCTTCTGCACTCTTAGGGGTGGTCTCCTCTTCCCCTGTCAATCTAGCTTCCTGAGGCACTACCAAGGAAGCTCAAAGTATACTGTCCCTTGACATCAATTCCAAGAAGACAGGGACCCTCTATTACTTGTACAGATATCCCCAGAGCCTAGCACAGTGCCCGGCACATGATAGACATTTAAATGACCACTGTGTGAGTGCTGTTCCTATTTCACATAATCTTGAAAGGATGACCAAAAATGAAAACAATAAATTTCTGCTTGGGGAACTCCAGGTGACACAATTATATTCTAGGCAAGAAACTAAAACTGAAGAAGGTTTAAGCCACACTCAGAGATATCTGTGGGTCCTTACAATGACTAATTTCTGGGGAGTTTTTATGTAAGCTGCAAATCCATAAAAATCTGCATAAGCAGTAGTTACACAAGAGTCCTATTATAACTCTACCAGTCAGAAGACCATGTCCTCACTTTCCATTTAAACAGGTTTTAAAAAATCAAAACCAAACCAAAAGGCAAGAAATTAGTCCAATCCGTTAACCATGAGCTCCAAAACTAGTGAACCTCCACTGTACCTTTACAGAGGGGCCAGTATACTTACTCTCCGGCTGGAAGATAAATTCATATACCCAGACTACCAGCAGCGTCGACACAACACTCCATGCAATTAGCTGCCAGGGCTCATACTTGGTGCAATGTCCATTTACATAATCCTTGGCCTTTGTGGAATATACTTCCAAAATCTCGAAGTAGGGCTCAAAGGTCTTCTAGAAATATAAGAGATAAAAGAAATATTACATTCAGATAGAGGTAGAAGTCTGTTCTTAGTTTGTTCTTCAAATTTCATTTCTCTAGGGCAAGGGTTCATGATGTAGCCCTACCCCACCAATAATATCGTCCTCTAAGGTCCTCAAAGCTCCTGTCCCAGTCGTTCCTTGTACACTGCCCCTAGTGAGTCACGTGGACTTTAATGAGATTTTTGATCATCTGCCTATCGTGTGAAATAAAAGGTTAAGCTACATCATCATTTCAGCTCTAAAGCTTCTATATGACTGCAGTATTCCCTGTCCCACTCTCCTAACTCAAGCTAAGCCTCTCAATATGTCTTTCTCTTCTTCCAGACTTTATTCAAATCTTTCCCATCCTCTAACCCAGCGGTCAGCAGACTGATTCCGCAAAAGGCCAGCGAGTGAATACTTCAATGCAGGCCAGAGACTCTCTGTTACAGCTACTCAACTGCTGTTGCAGCACAAACGCAGTCATAGGTAGTGGGGAAACGAATGTGGCCATGTTCTAACCAACTTTAGTTATAGATACTAACATTTGATGTAATTTCGCATATCACAAAATATTCTTTTTACAAAAACAATCTTTAAAATGTAAAATACCATTCTTAACTCCTGGGCTGTTACAAAAACTAGCAGCAGGACCGATCTGGCTCATGGGCCATAACCTGCCAATTTCTGCTTTAAGGCCCTACTTAACTAAATGACTCTTAATGGCAGGGACCACATCACTTTGTGTATCCCACAGTACCTGGCACCAGCAAAAAAAAAAACCCTCTCATCTGAACATTTACCAGAGTATCTCACTCATGAGAATTCCTCTCTCTTATTAAATGCTCAAGTGCTCATTGTGCCTCTCAGAGCTTATCACAATGTGCCTTGAGTCTACTCATCTGTTTCTTATCTCCCTGCCTCCATGGTTAGTCCTCGAAGACAGATCTTAGTCATAGTTACAAGCCCCCAGAGTGCCCTGTACAAAATAAGCTCATGCGATATAGATTGTTAGTCATTCACTGGCTCAACATTTATTAAGCATCTCCAGTGTTGAAGGCATTAAGCTGGGGAAGCATTAAGGTAAATCACATAGGTTGTTGTCCTTCCTGAGCTGGTAATCTAACGGGAGGCCCATGTGTGTATGTGTGTATGCATTACATACACATGCTGACACAGACACACATGTATAAGCAAATCATTAAAATTCTTCAGGATAAACGCTATAAAAAGGATGTAAATGCAGTGCTAAGAGGGACCAGGAGGAGGGCCTAACTCTAAAGAGGAGATGAGGACAACAGGACAGAGGACAAGAAAAATCTAAGCTGGTTAAAAGAGTAAAAGGATGATCAAAGAAAATTCTCCAGGCAGAAAAGTTAAAGGAAAAAGAGCCATACCAGAGAGGGAACAGGTGCAAATGCACAGAAGAGAGTCTGGGAAAAGCAAAAAGTTCTGTGCGGTAAGAGGGTAAGGTAGACGAGGGCAGGGACCTTACGTGTCTTACCAGTACCAAGGCCTCAACATACAGGAGCGTGCCTGGCACACAATTTGTACTGAGTAAAAACCTGGACAGTGGCTGACAGTGACCAAGTGAATGAGTAAATAAAAGATGTCAATCAGAGCACCGAGGCTGGGAGAAGTTCACCAAGTCCAGATTAAAAATGTCCTTGAAAAAAGCCAAGGAGATGGGGAGGATAAATCAATAGGTACCTTTTTATAAAATGGTTTGTCTATGTCCGTTCACATTTTAAGTGTATATTCACTTTGACCCAGAAATTCCACTTGTTGGTGTTTATATACTTGCACTTGTGTTCAGACATGTTCACTTCGGTATTCTTCGTAACAACAAAAGAAAAACCATAAATAATAAAAAGTCCATTCATGGAGGAGTGGTTAAATAAAAGATAATACATACCTTTTACATACCCATGCTATGAAGATCAATCTAAATGAACTACATGGGAAAATTTCCAGAATATAATGTTGAATTTAAAAAAAAGGAAATTGCAAAGCAACAACTAAACACATGGGTTTTTCATCAGAAGGGTAATTTATTTTTAAAAATAATTTGGTGGGAGATGACTAAGAGGAAGACAAAGATTAGAAACAAAAATTTTAATTAAGGGGACTGTTGAAATAGTCCAGGGGAAAAATAAACTGGATTTGACCTTAAGCAATATGAATGACACTGGGGACAAAAAGCAGTATGGATATGAAAAATATTTTGGAAGGTGGAATAAATAGAGTGTGATAACTTATTAGATATGGGAAGTATGGAGTGGGAAGAGTACAGAGAATTCCAAAACTTTCAAGTTCAAGTTTGAAAGACTGAGTAAGTGGCGTCACAATTAACCATGGTAGACCAGAAGAGGAATGGAAGCAGAAGAAGGCAGAAGAGATTTTGAGAAAAACATAATGATATTGGTTTGAGTTATGTTCCCGTAGGATATCGCACGCAATGTTCTAGTAAGAGCATGAAAGCTTAAGAGGACAGGTGCTCAACAAATGTTTGCTGAAAACATTTATACTCTTAGCAATTAGGCTGTGGTATAAGGTAATTAACATTATTAGGTAAGCTCTAGGTTCTCTAGGGGGCTATCCATGGGAACACAGCTTATCTACAACACCCTCCTAGCTCTTGGTGGCCAGTCCCCAGAGCCCATGTTGCTATCAACAACCTCAATCCTGCACACCAGTGGCAGTCGTGGGGCAATGGCAGTGCTGGTCAAGACTTGAAGACAGACCAGAAGAATCTGCCATCATCAAACATGTGTCATGATTTCCATCATTATAAAGTATTTTCTAGCAGGCCGGCTGAGTGGCGCGTTGGTTAAGAACTGGCTTGGGATGCCAGAGGGCCCCGGTTCGGATCCCACATATGAGGGCCAGTGACACTGCCCCCCACAGCTAAGATGCTGAACAACAGCTCGACCTGGAGCTGGGCTGCCGTGAGTCGCCGGCGATGGCATAGGCTGCAGTCCCCTGCTGCAGTGGGTTGCCATAAGCTACCGTGTGTGGCCGGCAGCCAGCGTGAGCGGCCAGCAGCCGCAGTGAGCGGCCGTCCAGAAGCCGGCGACTGATCTGCCTCGCCCGGGAAGAGCGCAATGATGGTGCCAACTTGGGCCAGTGAAGCAACATTCTCCACAACTAGACTGAAGAAAAAAAGGATAGCAACTTGTCTATTCCCCTTCCCCCGATTCCCCAATAAAAAAAGTCTAAAAAAAAAAAAAAAGGTATTTTCTAGCGTTAAAGCTGTGATCAAACCAAATGGTTAAGTGGTGTGTATGAATGGGATGACAGAAGAACAATCATTCAGATCAGCTTTTCCTCTGGTGATCGTAATTTCCAGTTCACCCAGAAAAATACAGGTTACTTTACCAATGTCAAAAGATGGCTGTAGATATTATTAACTTTTCATAAAGGCACTGAACAAAAAGGTAACATAACTAGTATTAGGGAGAGGGCAAAAAATCAGCAAAGGCAAACTAATTTTTTAAAAGCCTATTAAGAAATGAAGGCACTCCTTGCTAACATTTATAAAATTATATTCAGCAAGAATGTATTTTCTTGGTAATTGCCACAAGAAGATAAGAGGAGTCCTTGAGTTCAAAGTCCCTGAATATATTTACTTAAGGAGATACATTTCTATATTCTCTTACTGCAAAGACAGAATGATACCATACTTAGATGGGTCCTAGCAAGCTTTTTGAGTAGGCAACTAGTTGGTCACAGAAATTACATTTCCTGGCCTTATTCCAAGGTCCTTCTAGGTTACTACAAACAATCTAGGCTCAGTCCCCAATGAAGAAGCACCTCACAACACTGACAGCTCATTGCGTTATAGGGCTCTGTGGGGTAATGTATGCTATCTCCTTGGAAAAAAAGAATGAGGCAGTTCCTTGGGGCCTTGCAAACAGCACAAACCCTAGGCTGGATCCTGATGCAATACTCCAGCCCTTGGGAAACAGACAACCTAACTGCTGAAGGGAACTTCGGAGATCAAGCCCACATTTTCACTTTACAGAGGCCCCAAAGTGAAACGGCCTGCCTAAGCTTATATACACAAGCTTGTGTCCGAGTGGAGACTAGGAACCCAAGCCTCCTGACTCAGTGCTCAGTACTCTTCCAATTCTTCATTCTCGGTGTTCATTGGCAGAGGATCACTGAACAGTGCCATCCTAAGAGTTTTCTTTTCACAATTAGTGTTCTTGGCAGAATCTACCTTGAATATGTGGTACAATTCATAACAAACTAAAATTATATAGCAAGGTCATGACTACGAGTAAACATCTAGATAGAGATGGGACAAGAACTTAATATAATTATAATTATTATTCCCCACCATGCCTTTTTGTTCAGTGATACATTTTTGTCTACATACACCTGCATGTACATTTATAATTATAATACTTAGGCTTCTGTTTATTTCAACTTAATCTACATATTGTGTCTCTTGAAATATAAGAACTATTATTGGTCATCTCAGAAGGCCACTAGTTTACTGTGTAACTCCTGGCAAATCATATCACCAATCTGTGCCACCAATTCTTTATCTAAAAGGGACACAGAATAATAGTCACAAAATAAATTGTGTATATAAGTCTACAGGTGTGTGGATGTTTATCTCGCTAGCCCCTGCTTAACAGAACAGTAGTTTTGGTTAAATTTCTACAAGTAAAGCATTCCTCTAGAGAAAAAAACAAAAAACAAAACACTTCGCCCAATTATGTATATAAAATGTTAGTAAAGAATACAATAAATCTTTTGAAAGTATATTATTAAATGAAAAAACAAGATAAACCTTAGTATTATGAAGATTCAAAATAGTAATTACTTTAAGAGGCCACTGTCATATAATAGTGACTAAACTACCAGCATTTCTCTTCTTATTCATTCCATTTCCAATCTAATGATTTAGGTGTTAGCTGATGCCTAAGACATCAAAATAGTACTCAATAATCCTAATCATTGTTAGACAAAAGGCAGCTGCT